AATATTTCATTTAGTTTTTCACGGAATAAAATAAAGAGAGATTACATTACATTAACCTTTAAATATTGCTTTTAAACAAAGTAGTAGGAACATTCAGGAAATTGAAAGGTTTGATCTTTAATAATCTTAAGTGGTATCTGTACTCCCTACCCATACGGGGCAATGGAGGATAACTTAGAGATTAGGTTTTATATTCATCATAGGTTTTTTTTTTTGCTTATTTTCTTCAGTACAACAATAGTGCAATGTATGGTCTAAATGCTATATTATTTCTAATCATTATGAATAAGTTGGCTGATAGAGTTAAGTGGAGGAAGATGAAATCTCTAGGTCAGATAGTAAATATCATCTGTTCAAGAAACGACAACACCACTAAAAATTTTGGCTCTTTAAAAAGCAAAGTCAGATGAAAATAGAATAATGTAATATGCAGTATTGCATTTTCTAGTATCAAGAACATGTTTCTTGTCACTCTGGTCATAGTATCTGACAGACTTACCCCTCAGTGCGTATGTTCCCATGAAAAGTATCCAAATGCTTCTCCAACTTTATCATATTATTTTGCTTGGACCAGCAAAACTCTGAAGGGTCGTTCAAAATGACAGTAAGTGTTCTCAATAGCTGTTTTGCCCCAAGAATATGTACATTTGTTTAAATTGCCACAAAATGAATTCCCTATGTGGGGCTTGTTAAAGTACTGTAGTTAGAAGCAAGCTTGATAACATCACTGGCTTTATGTGTAAGTTTGCTCTAATTCAGCCCTATTTAATCTCTCTGCCATTGAGTAATATCAATGTATACCAGTGTCATATATTAGTGAAAATGCAAATTTATTATTGATTAGCTTTAGCTTGTTTTGGACAGAAGTTTTTCTAAATGGTGCTCTGCTGTCCTAAACCACTTTTCCTGCCTTGTTTGTTTGTTTCCTACTGATAGTAGGATAGTGATGTAATTACCCTGCAGTACAAACAAAAACAAGGGTATATTCTATTGCCTCCTTTGCAGTCTCACTTCACACTTTCACCATGTCCTTTAACTTGACTCTTAATTCTAACTTAAATGATTTATTCTAGTGCATGTTGTCAGTAATTTTTTTTTTTCCTTCAGAAACAGTTACTATACAAGCTTTCTATTTCTGCATGGTTTTCACTTGGAGTCTTAATGTGAGATGCATATGTAACAGAAAGTGGATTCAGGAATGGGATTTTTTGGCCTGTGTAGGTCATTTTTCCTCTTACCCTCTCCCGTATTTCTCAAACCCCCACACAAGCTTACTGTTCTGTTTACACCGTTATGTGGTAACATCCTTTGTTTTTGTAAGGTGAATGTGAAGGCCAAGTGGAGAGAGATCGGGCAGTAGGCATTTTGAGCAACCCAGCAGTGTGCAGGGGTAGGTCTTTAGCAGCCTCTGACCAAATTTTGCCTGAGACTGATTCACAGCAGGAACTGACAATATGTCTGGTTTTTGTGTGCTTTACATCCTACAGTCCATTTATTTCATATAAAATGTGTTTTGTGGAAGTGAAGTATTAGGAAATATTGATACTAGATTACAAACAAAACGGAGCTTTGAGGAGGAATGCAGCTCTAAGGTTTTCAGCCAGGCAGCCACAGCTTCATTGTCATTTTTAAGGTGCTCTTTTACAGCTTTGGCTCTATTTCCAACACAAAAAAAAGAGAGAGCGAGAAAAACAGCAGGAACTTCCAGAGAAACAACACAGCCCAGAGCAGCAACTCGTATTGTTGCAATGGGGCATATTGTTAATGGCATAAAGTAGCGTAATGAAGACTTGCGGCTATGGACTTTTTTAAAATCTGCTTTGATGAAAACAACTTGCCACATATTCAGAAAAATGTGTGCACCGGTAGTTACTTAAATCACAGATGTCATTACTGATTATGTAAACTAGCATCAGTCTTTTTTCATGTATAAATACTTCAGATATATTAATTTAAGCACAATAGCTGCTCAGGTACTTTCATAATTTTTTTTTTCGGATGAGTGTTTAAATATTTTTTTAAGTTTGTTGCAGTTGAATAAAAATTGCAGTAACATCAAAGACTCTCAAGAAAATCTTTACTGCTTTTTGAATCAATACCTAGCAAAGCTAATGGAAGTTAGCTACAGTGAAGTCCTGAAATGATTTGTTGTTTGTAAACTGTTTCTCTCTTAAAGTATACCCTTATACCTTATAAACGACCAAAGGCTTTTTATGGTCTATACTACAGACAACTAGTATTATTCAACGTACAATACTTTTGGAGAGGCTGATGTATTATATTCAACAGCTTTATTTTAGTTAAAAATGTATTAGTGTTTTTTTTAAAAAAAGGTGTCAGGGCCTTTTTAGTTAGTAATGCTGTTTGTCTTGGTTGCACTACTTTGGGTTGCAAAACAGGCAGACCTCAGGTCTACCAGGTCTAATCAGTATCTCAACAGAAAATGCAGTTAAACTGTAGCTCTCTGATGGATTGCCCATCTCTAACTGTAAGAGAAAAGAAAATTCTCTTTTTCTTTCCTAGCTGACAGTGTTTGTTTCAATGTACAGCTGATGGGTAGGCCTGATAGACAACGGAAGAGTGAAAAGCAGATATGATGGTAGGTTATGTGCTGCAGATGAGCCACTGCTCAATCAGATTCAATGAACATAGTGCAAGAACACAGGAAGTTGGGATACTCGTCACAAAAGGTCAAAATGACCTTGGTTATTAACATGAATTTAACAGCAAGACTTTGAGAACTTTGTACATGTGCACATACAGGAGGCACTCTGCAAAGCCTTACATCCAAGTCTATGGCATATTCATTCCTGCGTTCTCTTCAGGAGAAACAGCCTCTGCCTCTCTGAGAACGGAGGCAGAACATCTTGGAAGTCTGTGGGCAGCTCTGGGGATGCAGGGTACTAGAAATGGAAAAAGTTGTTTCAGTAAGTAATTGTCAGTGTCTGTTGAATATTTATATAATCATATTATATTCTATGCACTTTCCTTGTGATGCCCTAGTTTTGCTCCAGAATTTTAGTAGCAAAAAAACTCAGTTCATTTTCATAGATGAATATTTTTGTCAAAGTTATATGGAAAATTGACTATTATTGTTTTTATATACAGATTGATAGAGTATTTTTCCTTGCAAATTATCTATCCATGTGCTTGTGCTGACGCAGACTGATTCATACATTAGACATAGTTCCAATTGTAGCTCATATTCATTTTACCAGAGATGCAAGAATGTGTTAAAATTGTATATTTATGCTTGTAACTGTAATTCATTTGAAGTTTTATGACTTTATAATCTAGCAATTGAAACCTTTGTTTTGATGTTTACAAAACTAGCAGTGTAATCCTTTCTGTATGAGTACATTTTTAGACCTGCTTTGAGCATTGTGCATGTGCTGTTTCAGGTATCAGCATGAATTCTGGTCTGGCTGCAACTATTAAAGATTAATTGCTGCTCTCTTTTTTATTATTTATGTTATTTTTATGCTTTGATTCTGCAATAACAAGACCGTTCTATTTTTGCTGCAATATCAACATTTAGGACTGAAGCCTCCTTATATTGTCCTTAGTTTCCATTCCCTAGCGTGAAAATTTTCATTCCTTTGCAAGAGGCACTCAGTCTTTTGCAGATTCAGGAACTATGTAAAGAGGCTTTCAGCCTGGGGACATGATGAACAAGATATTTTTCTCTATGCAGTGCTGTAATCAGAAAGCATTTCCCATGATGTGCTCTAATGCTGTCTTTATAATTCACTCAACAACTGCAGATTGGAGGAGACTAAAACTTTCTCACCCTTCTTTTACTGACTTCCTGCAGCAGCCCTGCTGCACTTCTGCTTCAGCTGATAATGTAAAATACAGATGCATAAGGTAGTATATGATAGAGACAGAAGTACCTCATTTTGATCATTAGGACAACAACAGCAAAAACTTCACAGCTTTTATTTATACTTCTCGAATATGAACAGTAACATTTGTAATGAAAAAAAAATAGATAGCATGCTTATTGATGCCGCTTTCATGTCGAAATATCTGTTTGTTAGCAGACTCATTCCAACAACCCATTCTGATCTAACTCTAAAATCTTCTGGTAAAGGTTTATTACTCAATCAAAGCAATAATGACTTTGTTTTATGCTGTTAGTTTTGTACTGGTTTGCTTTACTGCATATTGGAACTTATTGGGCAGTATTATCCATGCAAGGCAAACATGATTGCTCAGAATCATCTACAAAGAAATCATCGAGGACTATATTTAATGCAAAAAGCATTAAGGCAGAAACTGTACAGAACTGTCCAGTTCTGGGCTTCCCAGTACAAGGGAGGCATGGATGTACTGGAGTGAGTTCAGCGAAGGGCCATGAAGATGAGGAGGCGTTTGGAGCAAGAACAGCCTACGAAACTGGGACTGTTTAGCCAAGCAGAGAGAAGGCTCAAAGGGCATCTTACCAGTGCATAAAGACATTTGGTTTTCTTTTTTTTTTGTAGATCTGGGAGGCGGAATCCAGACACTACTCTATTAATATCTCGTGAAAGGACAAGAGACAAGGCATAAAGTGAAATATAAAAAAATCTGTTTAAACATTAGTAAACACATTTTTTACTGTGAGGATATTAGAACACTGGAACATGTTGTCCAGGCATCTCCATCCTTGGAGATATTCGAAGCCCAGCTGGACATAGTCTTGAGCAGCCTGCTTGAGCTGGCCCTGTACTGAGGAAGCAGGTTAGACAAGACAGACAATCTCCAAAGGTCCCTTCCTGCCTCCACTGTTAAATGAATCTATGATTGAAAAGTGTCATTACAAAATCCTGCCCAAATTTTAATGGCATCAGTGTAAAACCGGTTAGGTTTGTTAAAAACTTCAGGATACATTCCACAAAGATTTGAACTTCTGTATAAATATTCTTTCCATCCTATAACGTTTCTTATAACACTGCTTGCATACATTTTATTCTGAAATCAGGAGATTTGTTAACATCTGCCCTTTTTTTCCCCTTCAGGATCGTTTCTTCTCACCAAGAATTAATCGTCGACTTCATGCTGTCCTGGCATCTGTTTGCACTTCGATGTTGATTTTATCAAATTTAATATTTCTTGGAGGAAATAAAGTTGGAAAAATCTACTGGAACCGGATCTTTATGGAAGGCAAGCTTATTTTGTTTTTTGTGTGTCCCTAGATAATCCAACTTTCCAAAAATTACTGAATTACTGTGTGCCGATCCAGATTCTCTTCTCAATGTACCTACACTGATCTGTGCAAAACGTTTTCAATTCCTTTTCACAACCCTCAAAAGTCTGTCTGGCAAAATCTCAATATAGGCTGTGCAATTGCAAATTAATGTTGTGTTTCTCCCAACAACTCTGGGAATAGTCTTATTGGGCTTTTCTGTCAGTGAAAGCACAGAAGATCAAATAGTAAGTTTGAGACAAGTTGGACAATTTTCTAGGCTACATTTCATGTCCGTCAGTAAAAATAAGCATACTAAAGCCAACCTCATAGACTCCGTAGAAGGATAGTGAGTGAGATCTCTAATGAACACAGGCTGTCATACAGAAGAAATTAGCTTTTTTCTTTCTTTCTTGTTGTGGATCTTTAATGTTTGGGACCTTTTGAATATTGAGGTTAGGACTTGGGAGCAATACTTGGACAATATCAAAATATCGAACTTTGGTGATAATATCAGCTGACACTGCTGTTGAATAAGCACTTATGCAGAGTTTTGCTGTGAGCTGAATTGGGGATCACAACCTTACCAGGGAAGTAGGAAAGGCTTCTGCTCATAGAAACTCTGCCCTGCAAAGACCACTGCTGTCTCTCACTCCATGCAGTGTTTCCTCTTCTTATTATTTGCAATGTAGCTCTGGGCTCTTAAGCATCCTAGAAGAATAAAACTATCATGGAGTAATTTATGTATATAAAATGAATTCTGTGCACAAGACTAGTTGATACAAACAGTACTGAGAATTTTTTTTAAAAAAAAGAACTTTTTTTTGCATAGAATATAGTGTTGTTTTGTTAATGTTGGATAGAGGAGATGGAGTAGAGTACTAGTTTGTGATTCATTTTTGCTATTAAAAGATGAAAGTTTGGTTTTTATTTTCTGAAAAGGCTTCATGTTCTGTTAAATTGTTTCCTCCTCCAGTTGGTTGGCTAATAGTTTTACTAGAATAAATTAGCTGACACGTTAGGTTTGGGAATAGTGTCAGATATCACTCTTTATTCATGCAGAAAAAAACCCCAAAAAGCTAATGAAATTGCCCATTTCATGTTTATGGCTTGGTGCAAGCTATTTTCCTAAAAGTAATTTGTAAAATATAAATGGGAAAAGCGTGCCCCCTTTTTCAAAAGAGTTAGTGGTTGGTAAAAGGCCTTTGGTTTTTCTCTCCATCCAATGATGGGCACTGCTTTAGCAAGTAGTTTTATAATTCTGTGGTCTGTTACTCAGTGTATAGTTTGAGTTCCTATAGTTACTGCACTTTCAAGTACTGGGTGTCTAAGATAACAACAAATTAGTTTGATCATTAGTAGCTATGTTGCCGTAATGAGCTAATCCAATTTAACTTTATTTTTAGAACTGAAAAGCTTTTGCTTAGCGCAGCTCATACTCTGCTAGCAGTAGTCTCAGTGTCGAGCTTTATTTTTCTCCATGCTCAGATCACACAGGTGATTAGGAATATGTTCTACTACTGCATTATGGTTCTGGCAACTCACCCTTGCAAAGGAAAGCATCAGCTCAGGCTTTTATTGCATCTGCAGACCTGCTCCCTTGTGGTTTTCCTAATATTAAACAAATGCCGTGCACTGAAGTTCTAGGGGAAATATTCAAACTATGTTCTTCAATTTAAAGCAATTTTATGTGCTGGTCTGTAGGAAACATAAAAAAGATCTGCACATATATTTGCAGACCATACAGCTAAAAGCTAAAATAAATAACTTGAATTTTGTGTGTTTTAGTCTGTACTCTTATAACGAATCCTATTCATCAATATTTTCATACCAAATCAGTTACTACAATATATACTACTTGGTCATTGCTCTGACAGTCCAAGGATAGATGAGAGGGCCTAGCTTCTTGTCTTAATCTGTAATATGTGTCATTGCCTTGCAAAAAAAATGATTTGTTTGAAGAAGTAGGGGTGATGGTAGTGGTATGTTGTTTTTCTTTCTGTCTGGGTTGCTGTGGGGTTTTGTTTGCTTGTTTGATTTTTCTCCCATGTATGAAGATTTTCTGTTGTGCACTAGGATGTTGAAGAGCTCTGGTTAGAACAGATGTTGACCTTAAGACCACCAGTGTCATGTTAAGAGTAGTCAGTGCATCTGGCAAGCTAGACCCCAAGCTACTTCTGTACGTAAACCCAGACCTGTGTTTTTGTGTGTGACAGACAAAGCAATGTTGTGATGTACAATGCTTTACTAAGACATTTTAGATATGTATCCAGTTAATTTGAATCAATAATTCTTAGTCTTGAGTTGATAAGAAAGAAGATTATTTAGCATGAAATTTATTAGTCCTTGAGTTGATAAGAAAGATTATTTAGCATGAAATTTATTAGTATTTATTGGGCATTAGGTGAAAAAAAAACTAAGAATAATATTTTTTCTCTATTTTAAGCAGATTTTTAATCCTTTTGAATTTCATCATAGTTTAGGAAGCCCAGGCAGGCTTTTGTACCACTCTAAAACCAAATCTAGAAAGTAAGCATTTGCATTTGGAAGACATCTCTATATTCCTGGCAGCCTGGCAACCTTGATATTGCCTTTCCAATAGGCAGGGAGGCTCCACATTCACCGTGCAAGATAAAAGCCCTAGGAGGTAGGTAGAGGTGAGGTCAGCCCAAAAGAAGAGCCATGGAAGGAGAGCAGCCCACCTGGCCACCAGCTGCACAAAAATAGTCAATTCCCTTCCTTTGTCCAAATCCCACAGAATTATTTATAAAAGGATTTGTATGTATACTGGTAGGAAGAAAACAGAAAGAGAACAGATGTGCATTTCACAAATTTATAATTGACAATTGTAGATCACTAGCAAAGTAATTCAAGGATGTACATGCTAAACTTGAGCAATAAAATAGCAAGCAGAAAACAAAGTCCCAGTTTTAGTTGGTGCTTTAGATGTTGTACATGGAATTTTCAGGTCTGGCAAGCAAAAGGATCTGAGAATATCACCATTTTAACATCATAAATGGCCAGTGTATAGCAATTTAGAGTCAGACGTTAGGAGTTCTGTTATATAATGTCTAACAGCATTGCTCAGGTTCTTGTGGAGGTTGCTTGTTTGCTGGTAGCTGTGTGACGGTGATGCAGATTTAAAATGACTGAGTGCTGACTAAAATGCAAGTTTTGCTGAAGATGAGAAGGTGTGACATAGACTTCTAGTTTTGCTCTTTGGTGTTTTGGAGAAAATGCTCTGTTCTTATGCATAGACTCAGTATATCACAAACTTAAACAGCTGTCTGAGAAGAGGGTAGAACAGGACTCGCAAGCATGTTAATAAAAGGAGTTAGAGCTCACAGCAGCACAGAGGAGCAAAGAGGACCATACAGGTGAGCAGCCAACAGGATTGGTATGATTTGTTTTTCCTTACCTTATGTATGGTAATCTCTAGATGCTGTGATGCCCCTGGACATGCCATATTTATGCCTTCTCTTTTTCTGGAATTCTTGCTTGACAAACATTTGAACTGTTGCAGTGCTTTGCAATGCTCCCACACAACTGCAAAGCAGAATTTATATCTGAGCATGCCAAGTAGAAGTATTTTTACCTTCTGCTTGCTTCATATATAAAGTAAATTAAATTCTTCTTGCTTGAAAATGAATTTCCTTGCATTATTGAAAATACTACTGATAGTTTTAAGACTGAGTATGTATTTGTGTTATACGTGTGTGTGTATGTGTTTTGGTTCTTATTGTTCTTAAAGTGTTTAGACTATCCCTAGCATTTGCTTCCAAAACACAACTCAGTATCTACCCCATAAATAAATTATAAAGAAAAAACAGTTCCTGGAACAAACATTTGATTTGACCTTTTTAATAAGGCTTTTGCCATGCAAAACTACATCAATCTAATGAAGAACATCTTCTATAAAACAAATGGGTTTTACTCGTGTGTTCAGAGGCATTAATATTGCCCTTCAAAATAGAAGGCTATGTTAAGTGGAGTTCTGCATGGAAGGGCTCTCTGGGGAATGGTTTTGGCTAAGAGGTTTCATTATCTTACTGTGATTGGCAAAAGCTGTTAAGCTGGAACAGGACACAAGTATGTTGGCTGATAAAAGTTTAAAGTTTGCTTCATGCTGTTTGATTTGCAAGGACCAGAGTCCAGGTAAATGAGGGAAGTGCGAAGTGCACATGGGGCATATTTTACTTTGAATAGCTCTCTGAAAATGAGACTAGTTTTAATTACACAGAATCACAGAATGGTTGAGGTTGGAAGGGACCTGTAGAGATCATCTAGTCCAACTGCCCTGCTCTTGACTGGAAACCAGTGCCTAACTGTGCCAGGTACTTCTGAAAATGGTCAGGAGTGCTTCTCTTGAGGTCAGTTCATCCCGCACATGTCCATCTTGGCAGGGGATGAGATGCAGTATCACTTCTCACTGAGTTTGGAAGTGTTTTGTACAACCTGGTTTAGATTAAACTGAATATTTAACCTTTGGGAAGGTGTGTGAGGACACTGAGCACAGAGTAAATTTCAGCTGCAGTTAGAAATGATTTACTGTAGAAATGCGGAATGGCTGGCGAGGCAGAGCTGCTGCCAGGAGGGGTAGCTGAGTGCTCTGCCCAACTGCAGACTTTGTGCAGCAGGGATGTCGCACCAGCAAAAGCAGAGCGCGTGCTGAAGTGTATTGGCAGAATGATGCATAAAATAATCTCGTCTGCTACTTGATGTTATGAAGGGTAAAGTTAAAATATGGCCAGTTTGGGGTAATGCAATTCAAAAAATCATCTGAAAACTACAGAAAGGAAAGATAGATGAAAGATTGGAAGTCTAGAAGCCATGAGCCTGAAAACAATGGCATTGTTTTGTCCTGAGAGGAAAACACTGAGAGAAGAAAAAAAAAAAGTATATAGAAGTTTTGGAGGAGAAAAAAAAAAAGGTAATGAACCATTTTCTATTTTTAGTGAAATTAAGAGAAATAATGGCT